TATGTGCTGACATGTCAAGACACGTGGATAAATGAAAGAATGACAGCTAGCAAAGAGTATTCAAAGAGACACGAGCCTTAATATGTACATGCAAAGATTCAAGAAAATAGGAAGGAACAGTTACTCGAATCTCTTGTTAATTTGAAGAGACATCGGAGGAATGAACCTAGATAGCAAAAAGTACAGATACGTATTATCCATAACTAATGAGCATCAATGATGGAAAACATTACAGAATCTTCACGAAATAGTTATGATTACCAATTATAATGTTACATTAATGTCATTAAATGCTCATTATGGCTCTATTATGATAGGAAAGAAACGTAGTACTTAGAAATAGCTATAAAAGGAGAGAAATAACATTTATAAAGGGACGCAGATTATTATTGAAATACACTGATTTACTTTGATTTCTTTTGCTTACTCAACTATCTTTCAATTTAATTCTTCTTATTGGTTTCATATTTGATTATCAGTAACGCGAGTTCTTCTAAAATTAAGGTTTGACCGAAATTCCTATTTTCTGGTTAAACAATGGGGAAAATAATCATCCAGTATGCATTCACCAAAGCCCAAACTATTCTGCTGAAGACGTGACTATTAGTCCAAGTAAACCACACGCCATATGTCTACATAACTACTATACCAGTATCAAACAGATAGTCATTACAATCTCTTACTTCTACTTCGTGTACAAGGCTTCCACAATGCCTATCCTGGGCTAAGAGGGTAGTGTTATGATCTCCCGTAGTTAAACAAGGTCGTTGTTGAGTGCCTTGAATTGCTCGAAGTTCCTCCCATAGCATGTTCCTATTTTCAATGGTATGTAGACCATAAACAGCTGCAAAATAGAATTATATGTTCATGTTATTACATATCAACTTTCCATGGATACACTCCTCTAGCGCACTTATCATCGTATAATTAATTACTCTAGGATCTTAGAGAATTCATACTCTACCTCTATTACTTTGACTATAGTTGTGATACCAGCCCCACCCTTACTATCCTTATCCTTCATTCTGAGTGCATTCTTTTCTTTGATTCTATGCTCAAGGACTACTATTTACGAAATATTTTTATTCCTCAAGCACTCATCAAACTCTTTTTGCTTGTAGCATTTATTAAACCCTCTAATATTCCAGGTAATAAGATTCATGCTTGGATATGATAAGAAGATGTGCCCACGAATCTAGCTCTCCATTTCTCTGTTCCTTCCTTGATTTAGTCATACATCCTGCCTTTTGTAAATCGGAATTTGTCTTATCCAATGGACAAAAACCATTTACGACATTCAACTCATGTCGCCCACCGCTTTGCACTTCCTTAGAAGCTGATTTGCCTCTGACAGTCTGCCACTGTTCATCTTGTAATTCTACCCTCGCTAGGAAAAATTTTATTTTGTATCTCGTAGATTTGACGCTAGTTGTATGAGGCATCTTTTTTGTCTCACGATTTTGTGGACCCAGATTTTTGTGTACCCAAAAGTGTAAAATTGGGGTCCACAAATTTGTGAAACAAAAAGGAATCTCATACAACTAATGTCAGTTGTGTGAGGCACACCATAAAACTTCTCCTTCCTTCAGGTTCTGCATTACAATAGTCCCATGATCTTTCTGCGCAGCTTGCCTCTCATTTCTTGCATCTCTTTGTTTTCTATCACAACGAGTATTTGTACCCGCGCGTTGCGCGAAAAATGAAAAAAAATTTTTTTTTTTACTTGAATAATATGATGGACACAAAAGAGCATGAAAGAAATATGATTTTGTAATTCATTCGTTATATATGTTGGGTCTTGTTACTCTTCATATATTTACATACATAATCGACAAACATTGTATTTTCAGACAAAGAGAAAATCAAGATAGATCACATACATAATTTATTTAAAGCTTCTAGCCAATACTGTAAAGTAAATTTTTGGGCTTTATCATTCTTAGATAAACCTTTGCCTATTTGCATGAAGAAACGAAAATGTTAGAAACTAATTACTTATAGAATTGATGTGATCCAAATTTACTTTGATAGCTCTAGTTTCTCGCTCTTGACCATCACGAAATTGATGTCTCATGCTTCTCGAGATCAAGTAATGAAATAGAAGTGTGTTCGACCTATGCCAACTGTAATAGCTTCCACCTGTAACAAATGAAAAGGGTATAAAAAAAATTAAAATCAATACAACTTTATTTTAATAGAAAGGAAATCAAAATACATACCAAATGTTGAACGAATACTGTAATATATGGTAATTTTCGTCTCGTCCGAAAGCTTTTGCATACTTTCTCTAAATTTTATAGTTGTATCATATTTTGTGCTACTACTATATGCCAAAAGCTGTAAGATGTTTCATGATTTTCTTTTAAGGATAAGGACTTGACAGACTTATCAGTTTGGGAATATTAAGCAAGTGTTTGTAATGGACTGTGCAAGCTTGCGAGAGAAAAGTAGTTGTACGAAAATAAATGTGCATTTTCAATCAACATTTTATGGTCCTTAAAAGCACACGTTTCACAAAGAGATACTACATGAGTTGAGTAAATTCCAATTAAATGAGCTTCCTGCTCATTAGTTGCAGCTTTAACAATACATAAGTTTATGAACTTATCATGTGTACCTTCAAGTTGAGAATAAATACTAACTAAATCATTTTCTTAATGCATAAATCCATAACACAAATATTTAAGATATATCAATCAAAAATTATCCCGAGCACTTCTTAGAAATAAAATTACATCAACTTTATTATTTGAACCGGAAAAGATGGAATACCAAAGAAGATGGATAAATAGTACTAATTATAACTAAATTGTTGACTTTAGTAAATTTTCCAATCAATCGTCTTCCCTACTAACTTAGAATACAGTGATCATTTGTAGGTTTATAAAATCTGAATAACTAGGATATTGTACTAGTACAAAAAATAGTACTAAAAGAAAGGCAAGTCAGAGCTCAATTGATTTGTTTTTTCAATTTTAAATTTTCTCAAAAAATCAACTAGCTTGTTCATGTTCAACCTCTTCCTCCTTACACAACCAAACAAGCTTTGGTAGATAAATGCTATTCTAAAATCTATATTATTAAAAAGTTAATAAATAAAATTTATTTTGGTTCAACCCCATTTTCACCTTGAATTGGTCAAACCAGCTTTTCTATAAACAACTATAGATCTAGAATATAGGAACAATGAAGTTAAATAACTATAAGAATAATTCCATATAAAAAAATGCTATAAAATTAATAGTTTGTTTAATTTAAAACCATGCCATAGATTCGTCAATTCCAAATTAGAAAAAATACAAAGATGTGAATGATCATCGACAATCAAAGCCATAGACCCAACTAATAAGAAAGTTTTAATCAACCCAACACCCACACAAGATAGAGATAGAAATTTATTGACTCTTTTGGTTGTTATGGTGGCCAGCAATTTTGGTTGCGGATGCTAGCGGATGAGATTTTTGTAGTATAGGGTTTTTCAATTAAGGTAACTCCTGATTTATTTTTTTGTAGTCTTTAGACTAAATTGAGAGGGTATATATTTAGGCGGGAAGCTATTTAGAGGAAAAAATAAAAATTAAAGGCAATACTAAAGGCAAAAACAATAGTTTTACTATATGTTCTCTTGAATGGAAAATAAAGATATACTAATTAGTCGTTAATTTATTGACCGCTAATATTTGTCTTCCATGAATATATTAGCGGCAATTAGTTTATTGTTGTAAGCAATTGTCGCTAAATCCCCTTTTTATTGTAGTGCTTGGAAATTCCCCTTTTCTTAATAGGAGTATTTTATGCATTAAATAATTTTTTTTTCAGTTTCTATTTACTTTCTAAAATTGTTAGAATTGGTAAACTAAAAGAAGATGTCTGAAAATTCAGATGAGTAGTGACAGGTAGTCAAAAATTGAAGTGATAATACTTTAGAGATTTGCGTGTTAGTCCTCTCAATGCGTGGAATTGTCATGATAGGCCTATTCGTAAAACTGTTAATTTTTAAAAGTCTCAAGTCTTTATTTATTTTAAATCAGACGTTTACATAATTCAACACATGCAAAATGAGAATATGTCGTGTTTCTCATTTGTCATTTGCCAATTAGACTGGGAAATTTTTGTTCTGGCATATGAACAAATAGCACCTTTGTATTGGTCAAAATCTGACCGTCACAACTGAACTAACAAGGTGATTGGGCAGTGAAAGATAGCATAGCCCACTCTGCGTCTCTTTCCCGACACCCGTCGAGTCGGAAGAAACAGCGCCTAAAGGGATGACCGAGACATATTGGAGGCAAGAGGGCGTCGGCCCAAGTAAAGGACAAGGGTGATTGACTATATATAGTAGGGGAAAACCTTCGATTAAGAGGGTTGCTCCCTCCTTTCTCTCTCTGAAACTCTCTTCTTGTATTCTTGATAGGAAGGAAGTAATCCATAGAAGAACATGTAAAGTTATCCCCCATCGATCGATGAGAGACACAATATTGAATTTCAATAAGATCATTTACATCTCTTTTATCCTGTGTGCGATCCATACTATTAGTTCTTTGATCAGGAATTAATTATGTCTTACTAAAATTTACCCCTTCATCTTCTTTGATTGATTTGTTCAAAAAAGTTTCGATATCTTTTGAGTCAAACAACTTTATTTTTTCATTATTTAAGATTTGTTCTTTTCTGTATTTTTAATGTTCCTTCAATAGAAAATAGGCAGTCTATTGCGTGGTCCATCAAACTCTCTGGTTGTCTTTTGGAGTGCTAAATTGCTATTTCATCACGTTTTTTTCAATTTTTTTTATTACTATTACATTAGGGGTGTGGCAGGAGCGGAGCTGACTTATTAGTTACGCGTTTGAACTTAGTAGTTTTCGTTTAAATTTTATATTTGTCTTAAAATATATATTAAATATATTCAAATTATTAATTTAGAATTCAATAATATTGAATTTCGAACCCAAACTTCAAATTGTAACACATCATTCTAACACGTCTCCGAGTAGGGGATGGGAGAAAAAGTTGAAAGAAACTCACCAAGTTAGTTTTCTAATTTCCAACGAAAATATTATCCAATGCTAAATAGTCTTTCTCCTTAAATAGTCAACTTAAGTGGATCCTCTTCATTTTATAGCTCAATCTTTCTTGTTTGATTCAAGCATGGAGAACCAATACTCCTACTCATTCTCTTCCTACTTCTACTTAGCTATAGCACTGTTTCTTCTTCCAATTTTAATCACATATATTTTCCATCAGAGAAGAAATCTACCTCCAAGTCCATTTTCTTTTCCAATAATTGGTCACCTTTACCTTCTCAAGAAAACTCTCCATCTGACTCTAACATCCTTATCAGCTAAATATGGTCCTGTTTTATACCTCAAGTTGGGCTCTATGCCTGTGGTTGTTGTGTCCTCACCATCTGCTGTTGAAGAATGTTTAACCAAGAATGATATCATATTCGCAAATAGGCCCAAGACCTTGGCCGGTGACAAGTTTACCTACAATTATACTGTCTATGTTTGGGCACCCTATGGCCAACTTTGGAGAATTCTTCGCCGATTAACTGTCGTTGAACTCTTCTCTTCACATAGCCTACAGAAATCTTCTATCCTTAGAGATCAAGAAGTTGGAATATTTATCCGTTCGTTATACAAATTCTCAAAGGATAGTAGCAAAAATATCGATTTGACCAACTGGTCTTTTACTTTTGTTTTCAACCTTATGACCAAAATTATTGCTGGGAGACATATTGTGAAGGAGGAAGATGCTGGCAAGGAAAAGGGCATAGAAATTATTGAAAAACTTAGAGGGACTTTCTTAGTAACTATATCGTTCTTGAATATGTGTGATTTCTTGCCAGTATTCAGGTGGATTGGTTACAAAGGGCTGGAGAAGAAGATGGCCTCAATTCACAATAAAAGAAATGAATTCTTGAACAGCTTGCTTGATGAATTTCGACACAAGAAAAGTAGTGTTACACAATCTAATACTATTGTTGGAAACATGGAGAAGAAAACCACACTGATCGAAAATCTCTTGTCTCTTCAAGAATCAGAGCCTGAATTCTACACAGATGATATCATCAAAAGTATTATGCTGGTTGGTATCCTGTTATTTTGGCCTTCTTGTAGAAAATAAAAGAAAAATAAAAAAAATTAAACTTTAATCTAATTTTGATGTGACTGCTTATATTTTGAATAGATATAGATTCTTATCGTGTGGACTTCTTTTCTCTGTTGTCACTTTCAAAAACTTGAATTCCATGTGCATCTCATCTAGGATTGATTAGTCAATACTTGTCTCTTAAAGTAGATATATTCAAAATTAGTGCTCTCATTTCATTCTTTTTAATTGGTCATTTCCTTCTGTTTAGATTATTATTATATAGTCCTCATTTTGATAGATGGTGCGCATATATTTTCTGATGAGTGTTGTATGTGGATGAACTTTCTACTCTTCTCTAAAAGTTTATTTATTCTTATGTGAACAGGACCTATTATAATTTAAGGTACAGAATTGGCTTATCAGAGTAAGAGTAAAGCCTCTTTTTACTTTGATGCATGATTGCATTTGCTTGGCAATAAGCAGCCTAATCTCGACTTGTTAGAACTAATTTTAATAGGGGTGACAAATGGGTTGTTTTGACTCTTTTGGGTTGGTCTAGATGAAACGACTCATTAAATAAGTCCAACCATGTCCAAAGTTTATATGGGTCAAGATGGGCTATACAATAGGTTGTAACCCAACCTACCTAAATTGACCCAAATCTTTTGTAATATTCCAACTTTTAAACAAGCATGTAAAAGTTGTTTTGTGTTTTGGAGTAAATGTCAATTTATGCATAATGATTTCTTTCCTCAGTTTAAATTTAGAACTTTATTTGATAGTTCTTTATCTTATAATACTAACAAAGATCTGAATAATAAAAAAATAGTAAAATTAGAACTTTCTACCCAACACAACCCACTTCCCACCACCCCAACCCCCACCCTACACCTGTACCTCCCTACCCCTATTATTTTTTTTATTTTTTATGTTGTAGGTAGAGTATATTTTTTTATTTAAACAAAATGAATATTTTTGAGAAGACTAGCATAAAAAAATTATTTTCTTTTGAAAATATTTTCGATTCTCTAACCAAACACTAGAAAATATTTTTCGGAATTTTTTTTTTCACTCACCAATCAAACATGAGAAAATAAGTGATAAAATCACTTCATATCAAAACACATCCTTAGAAGCTTTAAAAGACAATTGTTGTTCATGGGCAAGTTTGGGCTTAAATCATGGACTGATTTGGGCTATAGAAAACAAATGAGTTTAGTTGGGTCGTGCAAAAACTTATCCCATCATTAAAGTAGCTCATGCCCAACCCATTAAAACCTGGATAGGTCAGATGGGTTTGTGCCACTTTTGCCACCCCTAATTTTAATTCTACTTGTCCTTTGTAAAATGGTAAACTTCGTTTGTATTTCTGAGATATTAATTGAGCACTTGAAAATGAAGTCCGACTAATATATTATTCAAATAAAAATTGTATATGTATGTTAACATAAAAGGTAGATCCTTTAAATTTTTTATGATGGCCACATTTATTTTGTTGTAGGTAGTTTTTATTGCAGGAACAGAGACCTCATCAACAACCATCCAATGGGTAATAAGGCTTCTTGTAGCTCACCCTGAGGCATTATATAAGCTACGAGTTGACATTGAAAACAAAGTTGGGAACAAGCACTTGCTGAACGAATCTGACCTCAACAAGCTTCCGTATTTGTATTGCGTTGTTAATGAGACAATGAGATTATACCCTCCGATACCACTTCTATTGCCTCATTTTTCAACTGAAGATTGTATTGTTGGAGGATATGATGTACCAAAACATACAATGCTATTTGTCAACGCTTGGGCCATTCACAGGGATCCCAAGGTATGGGAGGAGCCTGACAAGTTTAAGCCAGAAAGATTTGAGTCAACGGAAGGGGAAACAGAAAGGTTAAATTACAAGCTTGTACCATTTGGAATGGGAAGAAGAGCGTGCCCTGGAGCTGATATGGGATTGCGAGCAGTTTCTTTGGCATTAGGTGCACTTATTCAATGTTTTGACTGGCAAATTGGGGAAGAAGAAAGCTTGGAGGAAAGCTATAATTCTAGAATGACTATGCAGAACAAGCCCTTAAAGGCTGTCTGCACTCCACACGAAGATCTTGTCCAGCTTCTATCACATCTCTGAGGCAATTTGTCTATGCCAAATGTAAACTTCTATACCCACTATATTGCACGCGTATGATTTGACACTCTTTACAAGGTATTTGTCACTATTCTGTTTTGCTATTTTTGTGAAAAGTTAATCAACAATGGATGATAAATAAGTAGTTGTTCAAAGGTTATGTTAATAAAGAGTAAATGCCGGAGAGAAGAAATCTATTACAAGATGTTTTGCTTTCTCTGAGTAGTATTTGGTATCTTGAATAAAAATGATAAATGTTTGATCTGAACTTGTAAATATCATATTCTCTAGCTTTTGTTGCCTGAGCATGATCAAGTATGAATGTGTTTCGATGATTGAAAAACTAGGATATATCATACTAAAAGAATCAAATTTTGTGGATAGGATACTATGCTATTAAACTAATGAACAAATATTATATGCAGATGACAAGAGAACTATGTTTGTAGCTTGATAACATAGAATGCCAATTAGACACGCAAAGATTGAACACGTGCGCAAGTTGAATTACGAAAAGAAGTTAGTTCGTGCATAACAATAAAAGATATTAGCTGGAGGAATTCATGTGCTAAGAGGATTTTAATATATAAGGAATTACTTACCTGGAAGGAAAAGGTTGAGGATGCAGAAACAACTAGGAAACCAAATCAAATTAGAAGAGGATTTTTCTTAACTAAAATATTCTACGTTTTGGAGTATTGATTAAAGAAAGAATTCGACCACCCTCATACCTGTATAAAGAGACATATTGTTGCCGCTTATAACTAATGTTATTCATACAAATCAAGCACTTCATTCTTTTCAATAGAAATTATGGCAAGAAGGTGCTCTCAAAGTATTCAAGCTGCTCAAATGAAAAAACCTATTCCTGAAGACGAAGGTGCCCAGTTTTTTAGTTGTTAGGTTAAGTCTGTTGTTCTTGAATTGTAACCTATTTGCTTTTGAGAAGCATAATCATAGTTAGCACAAATATAGTGATGTTTTTGTTTTATTTTTTAGACTAGAGTTATTTGGAAAGCGATCACTATAACTGGATCGATTGTAGAGGTAGGGTACTAGAGTTAGTCTTATTGGTTATGAGCTATAACCTAAAACTGCTCTTTGAAATTAGTGAAGTTTGAAGGCAAATCGTACGAGGGTAGGTCGTGATATTTACTCCCATGAGCAAGGAGATTTTCACGTTAAAATTTTTTCATTCTTTATATTCCATACTTTACTAGCTATTTGCGTCTGCTTTGGGCACATAAAAGAACTAAGTTTTGTGATTCGCCAAAAACTATTAAGAAATAATTCATCCATCCCTCTTGTGTCACGATGCAAATCTAAAATAACAATTGGTATCAGGGAAGGTTCTTTTATATGTGTCTAACACCTTGAAAGAATCCAAGTTAGCTGCACCACCAGACGCTCAAGAAGGATAATAATAACGACCCGAATGATCATTTTGTATATTTGAGCCCTGTTACACCTTTTGGTGCTTCAAATATGTGTATCTGTGACTTTATGACTTGCGAGGTTGGTTAGTTTTGTTCCAGGGAGGTTTGGGGTTGATTTGGACCCTTTAGTTCTTGGCATAGAAGCCTAAATTGGAAATATTGACCGAAGTTTGACTTTTATTAAAATGATACCAGAACGGTGTTTTGATTTCTCCAATAAGTTTATATTATGATTTGGACTTGGGCGTAATTCCCGAATCGAAATCGGAGGTCCATAGGTTGATTTGTATTGTTTTGTCGAAAGTTGACAATTTGAGGTTTAGAGGTTTCTCCAAGTTTCACCGTAGGTTCATATATTGGATATTAGGTATGGAATTTAATTTTGGTATTTGAAATAGGTCTTTTTTTTTCTATTTATAACTTGTTTGTAAAATTTTGTGCCATTTGGAGTTGGTTTGATATGATTCGGATGCTTGATTGCAATTCTAGAGGTTCTTGAGTTTTCATTTGGAATTCATGCGTTTTGATGTCCGATTTATAGTTATAGATATTATTTTGCATTTTGATCATGCGATCGAGTTCGTATAATATTTTTAGACTTGTGAGGATGTTCGATTTGGACTCCCGAGGGATCAGGTGAGCTTCGGACGTATTTTGGAAAGGTTTTGACTCAATAGGTTGCTGGTGTGCTGGTGCAGTAGTTGTTACAATTACGAGCACTGGCATTACAATTGAAAAAATGATAAGGGGGACTATAGCTGGTTCGCATTTCCGAAGGTTAAACCTAAGTTTGGTAGGTTGCAATTGCGACCATATCAGCACATTTGCGAGGAGGGTAGACTTCGCATTTGCGAGGTCTATATCACAATTGCAACATCTCCTTGACTTGACAGTTGCTGCATTTGCGAGTGTCATGACCCAAACCTAGGGAGGCATGGCCGGAACCCATTGCCATATTCAGCCCTAGCGTACCACTCTATAATAGTAAACTCTAGAGGGGTAGCCCTCAACTTAGGCCGACGAGGCCCACCTGCAAGATGACAATACCAATCAAGTCCGATGGGGCCATATTTTGATTCATCTAAAAGTAAAGTTTCTCTCATCTGAGGGGTAAAAATATCCAAAAGCTCATGTATATAATTGTGTAGGCGGATGTAACGACCCAATCGGTCGTTTTGAGCTTTTGCACTTCATTGGCGAGTTCTCGGGCATGACTAGCCCCGTGTGATTATTATGACTTATGTAAATCATTGGTTTTGGTTTTCAGGATAATCAGAATAGATTCGGAAGAACAATTCTCAGTTTGAAAGCTTTGACCAAGTTTTGACTTCTTAGTATTCGATCTAGAATTTGGAATTTTATGATTTGGTTAGCTCTGTTAGGTGATTTGGGACTTATGAGCATGATCGGAATGTATTTTGGAAGTCCGTGGAAGATTTAGGCTTGAATTGGCGAAATTAGAAATTTGGCATTTCCGGTCGGCATGGGAAATTTTTATATCGGGGTTGGAGTGGAATTCCGGAAATTGGAGTAGGTCCATTGTGTCATTTGTGATATGTGTGCAAAATTTCAGGTCATTCGGACGAGATTTGATAAACTTTTTGATCAAATTCGGAATTCGGATGTTTTGGAATCCTTTAGGCTTGAATTAGAGGGTGATTTGATATTTTGATGTTGTTTTGAGCGTTCCGAAGGTTGGAACAAGTTTTAATGATGTTATGGGATGTATTGGCATATTTGGTTGAAATCCCGAGGGCCTCGGCTGAGTTTCGGGTGGTTAACGGATAAATTCTTGGTTTTGAGTGTTAGAAAATTTTGCTGGTTTTCTGCTGCAGAAGGTTTGTTCATCGCGTTCGAGGAAGGGCATCGCGTTCGTGAAGAGGTTTTTATGAGATGGTAAATTTTGTTCTTCATGTTCGCGAAGGTGTGGATGCAAACGCAAAGGTTGATCTGAGTATTCATCACGTTCGGGAGGAGGCTGCCGCGTTCGCGATGGCTGAGCTAGTAAAGGTTCGCGTTCGCGAGTGAGTCATAGCGATCGAGTAGAAGGATTTCCGGGACAGAGGCAATTGTGCTTCACGAACGCCAAAGAGCTACTGCCTTCGCGAAGGGTTAAATTTGGGCAGCAGTGTTAAATATTAAAATCGAGGGTTTGAACCCATTTATCATATTTTGGGCTAGAAACCACATAATTGGGCAATTTTTGAAGGGAATTTCAGAGAAGTGGTTGAGGTAAGTGATCTTCACTTTTTTTTGGTTAAATTCCATGATTGTGTCTTTATTTTCATCATCTAAATTGGAAATTGGGATGTAAAATTGGGAAAAAATGGAAGAGAATTGGAGAGTTTGATTTGAAGATTTGAGGGACCATTTGATGTCGGATTTTGATGAATTTGGTATGTATAGACTCGTGAGCGAATGAGTTTTCTAGTTTTGTGATTTTGTCGGATTCCGAGATGTGGTCCTGGGGGCCGGGTTTGGCCAATTTCAGAATTTTGAGTTTAATTTGATAATTTTCGTGTGGGCTTTGCCAATTTGGCTTGTATTGATGCTATAATATTGATTTTGGATAGATTCGGGGTGATTTGTGGCCGAGTCGAGCGGTGAGGGCATTGTTGAATTGATTTTTGTCCGGTTCGAGGTAAGTAGTGATAGTAAATATTAACCTGAGGGTATGAAACCCCGAATTTCACATTGTTGTGCTACTTTAAGGTGACACACTGGATGATGAGCGTGGGGGCGTGCACCATTGGGGATTGTGATTTGGTCCGTCCCGTATGACTATTGAGTTGTGTATTTGATTGAAAGCTATTTGATACTATTGTGTTTTGGAAAGTATTATTATGTTTTGAGCTGAATGCCATATTTGGGTCTCGTGCCAACTGTTTCGACCCTTAGGGGCTTTATACTACTATTCCCCACTGTTTTAACTAAATATTTGTACTCACTCATGCTGTGTTTTACTGATTTCATAACTTAGACTTATTTACTCAATTGAATGCTATAAATGATATTTTTGGGCCGAACGCCCTGTTTTACTGATAGCCCGAGTGGCTTGTGAGGTTGATGACTATGAGAGGCCGAGGGCCTGATTATGAGGTTAATGACTGAGAGAGAGGCCGAGGATCTGTTCGTGAGGTTAATGACTGAGAGAGAGACCGAAGGCCTGGTTGTGAGGATTATATATTTATGGATCGGGTTGCACACCGCAGCAATATATATATATATATATATATATATGGATCGGGTTGCACGCTGTAACAATAGATGCATCGGGCTGCACGTTGCAGCGATATGTTGGATCGGGCTGCACGCCATAGCGATATGGCGCTTGGGCTGTAGGAGCCCCTCCGGAGTATGCGCACCCCTAGTGAGCATAGTCCACTATATATATGGATCGGGATGCACGCCACAACGATATATGGATCGGGCTGCACTCCGCATCGGTTATTATTAGATACCTATTGAGCGTGAGTGCTGATTGATGGCAGTTGAGTCATGAGTGACTGAGAGGCTTTCCCTATGAGCTATATATACACATATACGAGTGATGCTTGGCCTGAGGGGCTTGTTTATGTAATTACTATTTTCACTCCTCCTTTAAGTGTCTCTATTGAATATGTTTATCAAATTACTGATTTCACTCATCTTTATACTGAGCCTCTATTGAAAATATTAAACAAATATTTTAAACAACTTTCATTGAAGTTGGAGTTTTTATGAAATGTTCGGAATCTAATCACTGATTTGGCTTTGTTACTTCCTGTGAGATTTTTATGTTACGAGATG